CTCCAGCAAGGCCAGCAGGAAGCGCAAGTCTTCGGCTGACGTCGATGACGATGAGGAGGAGGATGAAGATGGTCAGCCCATCAAGAAGACGGCCCACAACATGATTGAGAAGAGGTATCGCACCAACCTCAACGACAAGATTGCCGCTCTTCGAGATAGTGTCCCAAGTCTGAGGATCATGTCCAAGAGTGCCAGGGGAGAAGACACGACCGAAGACCGCGAGGAACTTCATGGCTTGACGCCAGCCCACAAGCTCAATAAGGCTACAGTAAGTCGAAAAGCCAAAGTGCTCTAAGGGGACATCTGACTGACAATCGCAGGTTTTGAGCAAGGCCACCGAGTACATCCGTCACTTGGAGAAGAGGAATAACCGTCTCTGCGACGAGAACCATGCTATGCAGAACAGAATCGCTGCCTTTGAGAAGCTTTTCATGGCTGGCGCGATGAATGGCGCGATGAGCCCTCTCCAGCAACCGCCGACTCCTATGCAGTACCCACAGGATCAGTACATGAGCACCCCCATCGGAACGCCGCGTGGGGAGTCTGCACAAGGCATGATTCCTGTGCCCGACGACATGAAGCGTATCATTTCTGCTCAAATGGCGGCTGGCCAACCTTACCCCATGCCACAGCAAAACTATCGCGGAAACCCCAACGTCATGCGACAACAACAAATCCAGCAACAGCAGCAGCAGCAACAGATGCAGCAACAGGGACGATGGGGCAACAGCAGCCAGTACTTCGGCAAGTTGATGGTCGGCTCGCTAGCCGGCCTCATGATTGTCGAGGCTGTGCGAGAGAACGAGCAGAGCAACGATACGCCCGAAGGCCGCGGTCTGTTCGCCCTGCCCATCCAACTGCTGAGCTATCTCGGATCGACTTCTCACATGCACGTTGGCGGCTACTACATCTCTCCTGCTCAGATCATCTCACATCTGAAACTTTTGTTTTTCCTCGGCACCTGCTTGTGGGTCTTTGTGCCCTCGCTCTTCGTTCCATCTGAGGGGAAGCCCAAGAAGGCGCAACGTCTTCGGGAGTCGCTTCAGGCCGCTGGCTCCGTTGCATCCCCGATTCACGTCCGTCGCCAAGCTTGGTTGACTGCTATTCAGACCGTCTGGGTTCCCCAGCACAACTTCTTCCTCGAAGCTGCCGCTCTGATCATGAAGACGATGAAGCTGAGCATGCGCAACGCTATCGGTGTCCACGGCTACCAAATGCTTACCGGTCTCACTGAAGAACAGGAGGCTGCCCGTGTGAAGGCCTGGTCAATTGCGTTGGATGCCCAGCTCGCAGGAGGCGATGTAGAGATCAACAAGAGCCGACTGACCCTTACCCTCCTGGCTTCAGGCACCCTTCCCGATACCCCCTCTAGACTGATGCTCAAGGCTCTTCACGTCCGTGTCCTTCTCTGGGATCTTGGCGCCAAGGGACTTCACAACATCGTCGCCAAGAAGGTTGCCCGGTCCCTCTGGAATGAGGCGAGAAACCAGAACCGTGTCCTTTCGCAGCTGCGCCGTAACTCTGAGCAGGTCGACGATGATCTCCCCGAGCACCTGGCCGCCCTTATCGAGCAAGAATGCGATGACGTCCTCAACAACAGCGTTGTCCAGCGAGCCTACAACCTGGCGTGGAACTTGTCAACTACCGAGGGCGTTACTGAGCACAATGACGGAATGGACACCGTTGTCGATGATCAGGCCGTTCGATCCCCGCTGGATGCTGTTGCTGCCTGGTGGTCGAGCCAGACCATCCAGCGTGCCTTGATTACCAGTCTCGAGGCAAGCAAGGATGATGGTGATGCCCCGAGGGTAGTGTCAACCTGCTTGACCACCGCCCTCAAGACTTCTCCTATCGGCTCCGGTGTGCAGGCGCGCGCTCTGGTGGCCCGCGCTGTGCTCGTTGACGAGAAGCGAGGAGCCAATATTGCCGCCGCCCTCCAGAACATTAAGCCGACCAGCGAACAAAAGTCCCTGAGCAAGATCGCCGCCATCATCGACTCGTCGTCTACCGCGCAATCGCCCGACGTCCAGATGGCGCTCGACTGTGCCATGGCCATTGCCCACCTCCAACGTGCCAAGCTGGCGGCTGTCCCATCTCAAAAGGGGTTCGGAATCATCGAGAAGATTGCCCGCCCCAGCGCTACCGCCAACATGTCTCTCCTTGGATGCACCGCTCTCTTCAAGCTCATGGAGGAACTTTACGCACAACAGTCGTCTTCTGACAACTTCAGCACATCTCTTGAGCGCGTCGCCGGCAGTCTCCGTATCTGGATTGGCAGCGCTCCTGGCGAAAAGTGTGGTCTTGAGCAGGACGTCCGTCACAAGATGGTGGACCGCTGCCTCAGCATCACCAAGAGCGTTGTCGGTATGGAGACTGACACGGGCTACGGTAGTATGAGCGAGTGTGAAGAAGATGGGTGCTGACGGAGGTGTATGTGTTGTGGTATATTTAGAGGCGGTATCTCCCCTTATTTACGTACTTACTAGATGCATCTTATTTCCTTTCTATTGTTGTACTTTCTATGGGTAGGGCATGGGGCTCGGCGTCACTATGGGGGAGGACGTATGTCTTGGACTGGCGTTTATTTTGCAAGGAAAGCAACGAGACTTACGGCTGGAAAAGGATGGGACCAGCGGATTTTGCATGAGCAGAGACGGGACGTCGCATCTGACTGACATTGAACTCCTGCGCGGACTGTCAAGGAATGGGATAGGAGAAGGAGACGGACGGTACGGTCTGGGGATATATACAAGTCGGCTCAAAAAGTTGCGATGGAAAACTTTCTCTTTCTCTATAATACGCAGGCCATGGGGCCTGCCATTATGTAGAATCAATATCGACGATGTGTTCGTTGCATACACTACTGATGTGTTATCTGGAGAGTTTGTTCGTGGGCGACGGTGAGGCGCAGTGGGGGTGGATGGAGGGCATCCTGGAGCTATGCCCTGTTGCAGCCAGCTGTCTCCGTGAGGGTTGCAACGAGGGGTATGTCACTCCGTCATGGAGGGCATAGGCGACTTTCCTCTTTCAATATAGGTGGGTTGTTACTATGTACACTCTGCTCAAGTCATCGACCATCGAAATGAATAAGGGGATTAGATGAGAAGGAGAAAGGAAAGCATGCGATATCTGGTGTTTTTGGGGACGACGCTGACGTTGATGGTGTTTTCTAGGACCACATAGAAAGACTTTGGATGGGACTGGGCAGTGTTTAAGAGGAGACACTGCCCTGGGGAGAGGGTAAGGATTGGATTCAGAAGGGCCACCGGTTCATCATACGGTAAGGAAAGAGATGGGCCGAATTGGATGGAGAATCAGTATTGAGTAAGTACTCTTTCTGCATTTGCACACCTTGAAGCAAGGGAAATGGAAAGGCCAAGTACATCGAAGTGCTGCAAGTTTATCAGTGTCTCTCGGTGCGGCAGTCAAGGGAATGAACCCGCTTTTTGCTCCCTTAGGCACACGGCAAGGGCCCTGGGCTTCAGGTGATACTTTAGGTACGTCTCCACCTTTCAAAGGTGCATGAGACCGGGACCCCCCAACCCGGCCAAAGATAGGTACCGGCACGTTAAACACGACAACGACAACAACAACACACTGCACAGGATGGACCTTGGCACCCACCAGTACCACATAGGTACCTCACGCATTCAACAAGGGACGGATAGCTGAGGTAGGGAGATGGGAAGTCACACAGTTCGACCTGCACTAAACACACTAGAGAGTGCTAGCAGCAACGGTCGCTAGTTTTATCGGATCCGAACCGTCAAACCCAACGTCCGTCCGTCCTTTTCCTTGTCCCGCCCGGCACATGATCGCCTGAATGGGAACGGCGACAGGGCCTTTTGCCAGGTTATCGAGAGAGGTTGCAGCAATGGCCTGCTGGAACGGGTCTCGAGTGCCGCCCGACATGTGAGTTGTTATCGGTCCCTTGAAGAGTACGCATACCTTAGCAAAATGGATATCTGACTCCCATGTCTATCAGTCTATCTACAGAACTATACGGCGGCTGGCAGCAATATTGGACTGCCAAGTCATCCCACGCTTCTGATTCATCTCGATTTCGAAGCTGCCTTATCATCCAAAACTCTAGCATGCTCTGCGGCTGAGTTTCGACGACCAAGTCCAAGGCGCTGACAAGTGCCAAAGCTGGGGAAATGTCTTGGAGGCGGGTGCTTAGTCTTGTTGTTTGCCACGAGCTGGACGCTTGTTCGAGCAAAGCATCTGCGAACACCCCCCGACAACCCAGCTCGCGCTGCTCATCCTCCCTCTGAGCATCAAATCGGAGCCCATCCTGCCGAGGGGAATACGCCCTCCCTCGCGGTCATCGCCCTCCAAAACTCCAAAAAGCTAGCATTGGCCTGCCCAATGGCGATAGCAACTGACCCCAAATTGCGACTCCCCGCATCCTGATGGCAACCACACCACAATCTTCAAATCCAATCAGATATCGACATCACCGGGCGCCATGTGACGCAAGATTGCATCTGGCAAGGGCGAATGCTCATCTCTCAGACTGGCTCGTCACTTTTCTAAGAGACGCGAGAGTTGACCGCTTGCTACCTCGCGTGCCTCGCTCCCTTCGCTGGCCCCCTCAGGCTTTCTCTTGCCCTCTCCGGTCTCTCTAGCTCGCTGCTCTGCCCTGATTTCCCATCGAGAATCGAGTATCGATGGCCCCCCTGGCCTCTCCACTTGGGAATACCACCTGCCAGCTAATCAATGTTGCGCAGCCCTTCAGGAGACACGGACAAATCATCGCGTCCGAGCCATCGGCATACTTTCCTCTTCCCGTAGGACCGGCATTATGATGGCCAGGTACCCGTCCTGTTTGTTAGTCAGAAGCTCGGCTAGCTCACAGGAGCTTCAAAGAACATGGAGGGGAAGACGAGGTCCACGAGCCACGAGCTCGTCGAGGCGGGCCATAAAAGAGCGGGTGACACGCCATGTTTGCCCGCAGTTCTCAAGCTTGGAAGCTTGAGTTCACAGACTGATTGCCCAAGATGCCTCGCCACTCTCGTTCTGGCCTTGAGATGCCTAGACGCTCGTTCTTCGCCGTCTTTGCTTTGATTTCGTTCGTGCTGCTCGTCACCGTCAGTCTCTCCCAGCTTGGAACTCGACAAGGTGCCACCCTCAAGTTTGAACGCAATGCCGACGGAGAGTGGCATGCCAAACCCAAGACGCGTGCTGCGGCGGGCGACAAGTACCTCCTCGGTGTTGGCAAGGCTGACATCACTGGTCCCGTCGTCGAGATTGGCTTTGCAGGGTACGCTGATCTGAGCCAGGTCGGAACCGGCTTGAGACAGCGGATCTACAGCCGTGCTTTCATTGTCGGGGATGTGAGCAAGCCGAGCGATCGGTTCGTCTATCTTGTGCTAGATACCCAGAGTGGCGACACGGCCGTTCGCGAGGGCATCCTCGAGGGCGTTGCAGCTCTTGGTTCGGGATACTCCGTATATAACAAGAACAATGTTGCCGTGACCGGGACTCATAGCCACGCTGGCCCAGGAGCTTGGTTCAACTACCTCCTGCCGCAGGTCACTAGCTTGGGTTTTGATAAGCAGAGCTACCAGGCTATTGTTGACGGTGCAGTTCTCTCCATCAAGAGGGCGCACGAGTCTCTACAAGAGGTACTGTGGTCATCTTCGAGAGACTTGCCAATTGACTAACACTCCCAGGGATACCTCGACGTCGGAACCACCGAAGTAACTGACGGCGCCATCAACCGCAGTCTATATGCCTACCTCAACAACCCCGCGGCAGAGAGAGCCAAGTACAGCGCTACCACCGACACGACGCTGACGCTCCTCCGCTTCCAGCGCGCGTCTGATGGCAAGAACATGGGTGTACTCACCTGGTACCCAACCCACGGCACCTCGATCCTCCAGAACAGCACACACGTAGCGGGCGACAATAAGGGCGTCGCGGCGTACCTTCTTGAGAAAGACCTCGCGAGTGACGCGGGCGCTGCACCTGGCTTCGTAGCTGGCTTCAGCCAGGCGAATGTGGGTGATACCACGCCCAACGTACTCGGCGCCTACTGCGATGACGGTTCCGGCCAGCAGTGTAGTCTGGAGAACAGCACCTGTGCCGACGGCAAGAGCCAGTCGTGCCATGGTAGAGGCCCCGCGTTCCAAAAGTTGGATCTGGGGATTTCGAGTTGCTACGAGATTGGACGTCGTCAATATGCCGGTGCCAAGTCTGTCTATGTAAGTTGTAATCCTGATGCAGGATCCAACGTAGCTGATCAGTCCTCCTTTTCAGAATGCCCTGGCTACAACTTCCACCCCTGTTACGGGCACCAGCGTCAAGTCCTTCCACTTCTTCCAAGACATGTCATACTACAAGTTTCCACTTGCAGATGGCACCATCGGCCAGACATGCCCCGCCGCCCTCGGCTACTCCTTTGCCGCGGGAACTTCAGACGGCCCCGGCGCTTTTGACTTCACTCAGGCCGACTCTGGCACCCCCGATGCCAACCCTCTCTGGGCAGTCGTCTCCGGTCTTCTCAGGACCCCCAGTGCAGAGCAGGCTGCTTGTCAACAGCCGAAGCCTGTGTTGCTGGACGTTGGTGAAATGAGCACCCCGTATGCTTGGAGCCCCAATATTGTAGACATTCAGATGCTGCGTGTTGGACAGCTGGTCATTGTCGTTGCGCCTGGTGAGGCTACAACTATGAGTGGGCGGAGATGGAAGGCTGCTGTCAAGGAGGCTGCAAAGAGTATTCTTCCTAATGATCCTGTTGTTGTCCTCGGTGGTCCCGCCAATACCTATGCCGTAAGTTTTGCGAGCTTCCTTCTTTTCATAGTCACTGACAGTTCCCAGCACTACATCGCCACCCCTGAAGAGTACGCTATTCAGCGGTACGAGGGCGCATCTACCCTCTTCGGACCCAATACTCTCCCAGCCTACATCAACCTCACCGTCTCCAACATCGCCTACCTCTCCCCCTCCTCCACATCCACACCCGCAGCAGGCCCCTCCCCTCCAGACAACCGCGCCAACTCTCTTTCCTTCATCACTGGCGTTGTCGTAGACGGTGCGCCAGCAGGCCGCTCCTTCGGACAGGCCATCGGGCAGCCTTCGTCGTCGTATACTCGCGGCGCGGTAGTCAACGCCACATTCCAAGCCGCGAACCCGCGGAATAATCTCAGACTCGAGGGGACGTACGCCGCGGTGGAGCAGCTGCAAAGCGGGAAATGGGTGCAGATTAGGACCGACGCGGATTGGTTCCTCGTTTACACTTGGACGAGGACAAATTTCTTGCTTGGGTATAGTGAGGTTGTAATTAGTTGGGAGACTGGGACGAGTGATGGGGCTGGACCGGGGACGTATCGGATCAAGTATTATGGTGATTCGAAGCCGTTGATTGGGAGCATCTCGGCTTTTGAGGGGACGAGTGGGAATTTTACGTTGATTTAGGGGAGGGTCAGAGGGGTTGGTGATGATTATGGATTATGACGGTGGAGTTTTCGTAGTGATGAATCGTAATGTCCTCTTCACATGAATGCCTACTGCCTTATTTCCTTCAAGTTGAAGCTGAGTCTTTCCAACACTTGTTGGACAGCCCGTCCATCTTGCACGACGAGGCAGTCACATTCGAGTACGTACTTCTCCATACATTCAGCAGGCGGCCTATCATCACTCAGCCTGCCTGCAGTTGGAACCACGAGGGCTCCTCAAGGATAGGTACATAAGCACCTCCCACCCCTTCACCCGAATTCATCCAACGGGCTACACTCTCTATTCGCATCCACCTCACAGCCTGATTGCAACGTGTTTCTGGTGAGTCCACTGCCAGTTTCATTTTCTTTCAAAGTGAATTATTGGTTGACCAGGCACTGGGCCATTTCAAATCCAAGCAGCCTAACATGGATTCCGAAGAGTCTGAAGAATTTTACTCCTCGATAAACGATGGCCTCTGTGACGAGTGCTATAATGCTGTTGTTTTTTACGACGGCGGCGACGAATTCTACGAGGGCACGAACCGTGACGATGAGGCTACCCTGCGACATTCTGAGGAGGGAGGCGATATCATTGAACTGGATTCTGAGCGCTATTGGAATGACACACTACCCGACTTGCCTATGATGGCTGAATCCGCTGCTGCTGGGTGCCGTATGTGTGGTTTCCTTCGGGAAGAGCTCATACGACGAAACATAAGCTACGATGGCGATGTCTACATCGATGCGGTATACTTATATGGTGGACCAGCAGATATTGCCGATATATTTCCTACTGATTCTGGCTTAGTGTTCTGGAGGTGTTGCGTTTTTGCGATTGAGGGAGGGCATCAGGTCGCAGCTCTGAACTTTGGAATTGAGACTAACGACGGTAAGCTGGGCATTTCCCAACCTTTCCCGTTATAATTCGACCCTAACAACTTTTTGAAAGATGTATTGCGTCAATGGTTAAGATTAGGCCTGAAGCGCGCACCAGAGCCTTTGGATCCTCAAAATGTTGGATGGCTTCAGTCGGAGCTCTGGCGCTGCGAGGATGCATGCGGCCACCCCAAAGCAGCACCGCCATTCCTACCCACGAGGCTTCTTGATATGGGAAAGAGTGATGAAGAGCTCCCCCGCCTAGTTGTCGTTAAAGACATGCTCAACTCACGCGAGATTGATCATGTCAGGTATGCGACACTGAGCTATTGTTGGGGTCCCAAGGCCGACACTCTACAGCAGGCTAAAACTACAAAAGAAACGTTGTCAGCTCATTTGAAAGGGATCCCGCTTAGTTCCATGAGCCCTGTTGTCCATGACACAGTTAGAGTCTGCAGGGTGCTCGGCATTCAATACCTTTGGGTTGACGCTCTTTGCATCATTCAGGAAGACAAAGCAGATTGGGATCGTGAGAGTCATATGATGGGCAAGGTGTACTATTCTTGCTTGGTGACTATTTGCCCTGTCTCATCGCGGTCTTGCATCCAAGGATACCTCGGACCACGGCCTCAAGGTCTCGACGTCGCTTTCCAATCATCACATCACGAACATATCAGGGGCACCTATACGCTAGTCCACTCTTCTACCGATGTTGACGAAAACGATGACAGGTGGCCTCGTCCCGGGCCACTGGCAGTAGATCTCAACCGCTCCTCATGGGAGAAAAGGGGCTGGACTTTCCAGGAACGACTTCTTTCACCTCGTTTGATCATGTTCGGGTCTTCTATGAGCTATTTCGCATGTGAAACCGTTGCGATATCAGAGACTGGGTACCAAGTCATCAATACCATGCAATCATCACTACGATCTAGGTTGGAGAAAGCTTTTGGAGAAGTGGGTGATGAGATGAATCACTCGGCGAAGAGCATAAACAGGTTATACGGCATTTGGGATGAAACCATCATTGACATCACAACTAAGATCTGGACGTTTCCTGAGGACACTTTTGCCGGAATTGCTGGCCTTGCCCAAGGGTTCGCGGCGATCACCGGCGATACATATCTTGCAGGCTTGTGGAAAAATCATTTGCATCAGCAGCTGCTTTGGGAGAGCTCACGGCCGAAGACATCCGACTTGCCCTCATTCGTGTATAACTTGCAGCACCCAGACCCGTACATCGCGCCCTCATGGAGCTGGGCATCGCAGAAAACCTACGTCGAAGAATTTTGCCAACCACATTATACAGCTCCAAGTGGGAGCGAAGTGTCTGCATCGACATCATCAATGGTAACACAACAACCGAGCCACATCTGCCCTGAATTTTCCCTCACAGACTATCACATTGACCTCTTAGGCAATAACCCCTTCGGCCCTCTAAGTGGAGCTTACCTTCAACTCAAGGGCAAGACGTGCCCATTCCCGTCGAATGTCGAAAGGAAGGCCGTTGGGCGTCACGAAGACGCCCGTCCGTTATACTCGCAATTCTCTAGGGGGGTCGGGACTTGTGTCTTTGACTGGTCCGTAGGCAAAACCTCGATACAAGCGCCAGAGAGTATGTCATTGTTTTTGGTGTCGAGCTGCTGCTCGGCAACAGTGAATTGGGAAGACCTGAAATATAAGGCGAATTGTGACGACGAAGACTTTGACGAGTGGATGCCAAGTGAAGCGGAGGTTGGCGGTACGTCGTTTCCGAACGGTTATGAAGACATCGACATGTGCCGATACTGCGCGGATCCGACGCACAAGCGCACTGGATATGGCCTTGTGATCCACCCTGCGGAGGAGCCTGGATCATATGTGAGGGTTGGAGTCTTTGTGTTGTTTGCACATAAGGGGGGCATGGACCTCTTCCACGACGAGGAGGAGATCAACCTCGTGTAATATCCCAACTCTATTGAGGCAGTTTGTACACGTATTCACGGAGAGCAACATGAACCGGGATCTCACGTGTCATAGAGACCCATTCTGCGGTTATGGCAATGGACCTTCCGCGATGACGGAAAACAGGCTACTAGAAAGGTACGCTGAGGGTTTGCAGCACTGTGCACATTTCAGCGGAGCTTGATGAATGCCCGCTGGAGCTACCTCACGATGTATCTGATTTGTGTGAGAAAGTGGTCGTGTCTATGCTCGCAAGAAGGATTTCATATCGAGTAGGCCTGCTCGTCACATGTGTTACGGTCTTGCTTGGCAGAGGGATTCGCTGCAGGGGTTGATCGATATCGAACCGCAAACGGCGTCTACGCGCGGAAGAAAATGTCCGCGGAGTCTTATGATGGCCATATCATCACATTCATCAATACATGAGACAGAGTATATCTGCCAGAAATGAGAATGGAAGGGACATTACCCATAGGGTATCCCACCGGCGACCTCAGAGAACGGAAGGGGAGAAGACGGGAAGGGGCATCACCAACATCTCCCCTCGCTAGCTAGCACCAGCCTGGTGTTTAGACCGCTTTCATAGAACGATTGATCTTCTTCATGAACCGAAACACGTCTGTCACTTTGCAAGCCCACTGTCTCTCTTTTTGGAGGTGTTTGATCATTCCTCTTTCCCCAATGATCCTCTTAGCAGTTGAATCCTGGCGTGTTTAGCGGCCCGACGGCATCGGTCCGCCCCTCGGATCTTGTAACTCCAGTCAGCGAACTGCAAACAGGGATACTCACTTGCCTCTGGGCCCTTCTAGTTCGACGTCTGATTGGGATGTGAGATAGCCGTTGGACTCACGTATCTTGTAAGGTGAGTCAAGAGATTGGAAACAACCGCCCCCCCGCATTTGTTAGTTTCGTTTTGGGAAGACGATCGCTGTTCGCACCATGTCTCAGTCACAGCTGAGCAAACATCTCAAACATCAGGACTCGCCAAGCTTGCGTGGCTTCGGATGCGATAGCTGAATTATAGCCTTAAACTAGTTTGTAGGTAATTAACGAATAACAACAGGCCTCCATCGTTCATCTACCAATGCCACTGAAGCTTTTGAAACTTATGCCCGAAGGCAATGAGAGACAACTGGAAGCCTCCTGAGCAAGGCTGGTCAAGAGCGTTCCCTGACCAATAAAGATCTGAATATGATGAAGAAGATTGAGCTAATTTTTGACAAGCAATTTCAATCTGACGAAACCAATGTTGGACTCATACACGATCTGGCAAGAAGGATGGAACCTGACATCGCGAGCCCTACCCTTAGAATAGGTGTTCCTCGTTCAACTGTAGGGATTGGTTTCTAAGTATAAATAAAGCCTAGGATCTTGAGCATTTGGAGGAGAGAGTCTTTTCTGAATAAACCGCGCAATCATTCTATTCACTACCCTAAATTGACCCAACTCTTGACCTAAGTAACCTTTTTGGTGCCTTTTCTTTTTGGGACACGATGGCCTCAGACACAGCAACTATTCGCGCCTTGATGGTTGGAATCGACGACTACAAGGGGAATAACCTCAACGGCTGCGTTAGGGATATTCGCATTACCCAAAAAATCCTCCAAGAGAACCTCAACGTACCTACCGACAACATCAGAACATTGATCTCGCCCTTCTTGAAGCCTAACGAGCCAGAAATCGACCTCAAAGATCTTCCAACGAAGATCAATGTTCTCAATGCTTTGCAAAGCATCTCCGACGCATCGAAGCCTGGTGACTTCATCTACATCCACTACTCTGGCCACGGCGCCCGCACTAAAACCAAGTTCCGCGCTACTAAAGGCGAAGATGCGTGGGACGAGCACATTTGTACCCTGGACGAATGGATCAGTGACGTCGAGTTCGGCCAAAGACTCGACGCTCTTGCCGATAAAGATCTGGTGGTGTTTGTGGTTCTAGACAGTTGTCACTCGGGTGGTGCGACGCGTAACAACGACACGACTAAGGCTCGATGTCTCGTTGATGAGTCGATTGAACCTCCGACAGATGGCGCGCCTGGACCTGGATCGAGAAGCGCGGGCGAGAGAAAAGCCATTGTCAAAAACACTTGGTTCAACACGTCTGGCAAATACAACTTTATCGCGGCCTGTCAGCCGCATGAGTACGCCCATGAGACCAGACTTGCAGACGGCGAGATCGGCGGTATATTGACATACCACTTGGTCGAGTCCTTGAAGTTCTACAACGCATCAAAGAATCCGGTTACTTATAAAGAACTCATGTCGACCCTTCAGGCGGATCTTAAGGCTACCCAATATGCCAATGATCAACAGCCTATGCACTTGGGAGACGGCAAGAGAGTCGTGTTTGGAAACAAGGATATAAACGATGCAGTTTTCAGCCTGTCAACAAACGTGGTTACGGTGAACGATACTTCGGTCACCTTCAAGGATGGCAATGCCACCAGAATCAACGTTGGAGACAAGTTCCTTATATATGATCCATCTCACGCATCCATGGGACTTATTCTTCCCGGCGCAGGTCCGGTGGCAGAAGTACGCATCGATACAGCGGGAGAGCTGCAATCCTCCGCGACCCTGTTGACTGGAAGCTTGGCCAACGTGAAAGTAGGATGGCTTGCCCGGCTGTCGCAGAGAGCACACACTGCTACGGTCTACGTCGATATTCAGAATCACGAAGCTGAGATACTCCGCCATATTCGGACAGCCTCAGTTGAGAAAGCCAATGCCCTCGCCCCCTTGGAATGGACATACCACCCGAACGCAGGTGAAACGCCCCCAAACTATTCGATCTCTGTCAACGCCAATGAAAATTTTGACATCCGAGACGAGAACAACCAAATTCTCTCACGCCTGCCGATAGTTAAAGCCGACGAATCTGGTTCACGAACTTTGATCTATCTGCTTCAGCACCTTTCAATGTACCGCGCGGTCATGGACCTAAGACCTAGCACCGTCAAAGTCCCGCCGAAGTTTGACCTCACCTTTACATCAATTGGAATCCAGGCCGCAGGTTTCGACGAGAGTGAAGTAGCCAGGGTTCAATCAGCATGGGAAATCAAGTTCACGAACACAGATACGAAGGAACTTTACGTCACTATTCTGGACCTCGGACCTGCGTACGGGATCGAGCAGACGTTCCCTGATGGCGATGCGGCTAGTGTAATGGTGGGCCCCGGCGATCACATTTCGACCACTATTGGCATCACGATTCCGGACCTTCTCAAAGATGCTGCTAAGAAACCGGGATTCAGGATGGAAGACGTGTACAAGGTCTTCATCACAGACAAGCAGGCATCATTCAGCCACTTTACTCTGCCAGACCTTGAGGATCTTAGGGACTTGGGTAGTGCCAAGAGGAAGACTGTCAAGGCGTCCCCGAAGAAAGCTCCTTGGTATGTGGCCGAGTATATCGTCCGCACCCCTCTGGAGTGAGGCATCATTTGGTCGAACTCCTGGGAGGTGTATGAACCTCGCTAAGCATACTTGAATAGCTATGCTCTGTCGCTTTTCTATTCAAGTTTTCTTAAGTGCTACTGCTATCGGTCTAATATTTGTTCTGATTTCTCTTCTCGGATGGTCCCGACAAGACGCCAACGTGGCTTTATGTTGATGGTATGATTAGTCTAATTCTTAGTTGGAACCAGCCAGGCATTTACTTTGATATGACCTGTCCATTGTTCTTTTGCGCTGTCTGGAAACCCAAGTCAAAATACATAGTGTATACAGACGAACTCCTCGAGACCTACTTTTCATGTGCTCCCAAGAACCTGCCTGCGTTTTGACACCGTGCAAGTAAGAGCCTTGATGAACTAGTCAATGTATACGTCTCCTCGCTTTTCTCATCAGTGGCCCCTAGTAGTCGCGCTTCTACGAAGATACAGAGTCATCACACCAGGTAGATTGGGCTTGTGCTAGCTATCTCGATCAGCTGCCATTCCAACCAAAGTGAGCTCTATTCAGCTTCTCACAGCCTGCCTAGCTAGCGTCCTCGTGCCGCCAGCCCTGTCTTGCCTGGAAGATGCTTGCTTCTTGAGAGAAAGCACGCCAAGGTATCTGCGGCGAAGACCGAGATCGGCAAATATGCTACAAAAAGGGGGCTTCGGGGCCCGGTCAAAGTCGGTCGCAGGCATGCTTTCCAACGTTGCAACGCGAGAACCCACTCCTCCTGCCTGGCCCCTTGCTCAGCACGTCACATACGGATACGGATAGACTAGAAGAGAGCTAGAAAAAAGTTCCTACACTACGAAAGCTTAACGTCCTCAATTACTGAAAGGACAGCCGTCGCTATTTCATATTGTCGGGGGCTGACAGACTCGCATCTGACAGTGGCTTGCGTTTGTCTTGCACTTCAGCCGTATTGACCCAGTTGCCTGAGCTGGTGTTAGCTGTCTCTCAAAGGGGCTGAGGGTTGAGACAATCAGCAGGCGTTAGGAAAAAGCCCCGCGCTTCGTGGAAATTGACCATCGACAAGACCACTGACAGTCTACCTGGTGACGCCTAAGACACAGCCAATTTGGGACCATCTCGACTTTTAGACTATGGAGGACGCACGCCGTTACTCGTTGATAAATAAGATGGGTACGGATGGCGTGTGAGTAGATTCACCAGCATGCTATGCACGTGGCGTTGAGACCCTGGCCGATTGAAGATGAGAATATCTGCCCCCCTTGCCGTAGGGAAAAATGGTCGGCCATGTTTCAGTCACGAGGCTGATGAAGAGTGAGAGGACTTCGAGAAGTTACTTATGACCTGAAAGCCCCCCAGTGAATTTACTCCTGGTTTGGTGCTTCTTCTCCCCTTTTTGACCCTCTCCGCGGAGTAGGTGTCGAGTTCACTGCCCCGAAACCTAGCCCCTGTCCAATTTTTACTTGTAACCCAGGTCCAAACCTTATATCTGCTGACAGGTCCCTCCCGGCTGTAAGCCAGGCCACCGCCGAACGAACGGAAACATGCGGGCCTCCTTCGAGCACAATGCCTATCGGTACCTGATCTGCAGTCTACTTCTGCTGCTCAGCAGCTTCCGCCAAGCGCACGCTACGTATTACCTCAACCAGGCCGACGGGTACGATTCACTGCCGTCATGTGCCGGGCCGCCCATCAGCTCTATTGTCCGGGACATGGTGGCGGGGTGCGGTGACGGCGGGAAGACGACGTCGTATAGCTGCTTCTGCACGGCGAGTTCCGACAGGTTCAGGGAGATTATCGCGACGTCGGTCGCGAAGAATTGCGGGCGGTCTGGGGTAGAGGTTGAAAGTGCGACGAGCGTGTTTGACGCGTACTGTCAGATGGAAAAGACTGACAAAGTCACTACCTGTGAGTGTTGCCTGGATTTGACACTTGATTCAGCATATGTCCATGCTGACTGACGTGGCGATGTTCCAGCTGCGACTGAAGTGACCTCAGCATCCGCAACTGCAACGGCATCTTCGGCGGATACCGCATCCGCCTCACCAGTGACCTCTGGTAGCCTCACGAGCGTTGCGTCACCGACGTCGACTGCATCACCGGCTGCTTCGGATTCCAGCAGCTCTGGCATTTCCACGGGTGCGATTGTTGCCGTGAGCGCTTGCACTTCTCTCGTGGCCATTGCCCTGTGTGCTGCGGCCTTCTTTCTGTGGCGCCGGCGACAAAAACGCTTGCGGCCGGGCCGGGATGCACAGGGCCGTGTTTATGAAGTCGATCATACGAGCGAATTGGACGGGAGCCAAATGACAACCCATGGCGCGGAAGAGTACTATGCCAAGCCAGAGCTGGAAGCAAGGAGCGCTGTGAGGGAGATGCATGTTGAGCCAAAAGCTAGGAGGCACCAGTTGGCTGAGCTGCAGTGATTCCCATGTATGCTTTATTTAGAGCAATGGTGAGTAGACGTGCTGAATGAGTATAACGATACCACTCCATGATTCTGTAAGGTATGCTCGAGGATACTCGAGCAAGAGTTACACATGGGGGTGTTGTAGATTCACCTGGTCCAGCAGGACCGAATTCAAATAATTGGGCTTTGAAGACATTATTACATTATTAGATAAGCTACTCTACAATCACTCCAATGTGATTAGACGGCGAATCCACCAGAGTTCTTCTGTCTCGGCTCGCCAGCTGCCTCGAACGTGCCATTCGGCAGCAGCCTCACACCCTGCGCTGTGCTACCGCCGGGTGCAGCCCAGGTGACGTTCGTGCCCAAGCTCGCAAGGTAGCTCGTGGTGCTGTTGTCGTAAGCGTACTCGAAAGCAGCCGTGTTGGGGCTCAGCTGGTCGTGGAAGCGAGGCTCGGCGAGGGCTTGCGACACGGTCAGGTTCCTGTCGAGGACGTTGTGGATGTTTTGGATGGTGGCGGTGATGATGCGGCTACCGCCGGCTGAGCCGATGACGAAGTAGAGCTTGCCGTCGGGGTGCTCAACAATGACGGGGGAGATGGAGGAGAGGGGACGCTTGCCGGGGCGGACGTAGTTGGCCGGGCTGGGGATGAAGCCGAAGGCGTTGCTGGAGCCCGGGATGCTGAAGTCGTTCATCTCGTCGTTCATGATGACGCCCGTCTCGGGGACCATGAGCTGGGAGCCGAAGAGGAGGTTGACGGTTGTGGTGAGGGAGATGGCCATGCCGCTGGCGTCAGCGACGGCGATGTGCGAGGTTCCAGGGGTCTCGAGAGACTCGATGCCCTCCGGGTTGTAGTAGGACACGTTTTCTGTGCGGAAGTCGGAGATCTTGGAGCGGATTTCGGCGCCGACCTCGGGGGAGATCATGCTCTTGGTGTAGGCCGCAAGACCGTCGACAAAGGACGGGTCGCCGAGCTTGGTGCGCTGGCCGTAGGCGAAGCGCATGGACTCGTCCAATCTGTGAACGGTGTTGTTCCGCGAGGCCGGGTCGCCGAACCCTTCATATCCGCTGACGATGTTGAGGGCGCTGAGGGCGACGATGCCGCCGGAGGGGGCGTTGCAGGCTGTGAGCTTGTAACCCCTGTACGAGATCTGCGCGGGCTCTCTGATGGCGACAGTGTAGTTCTTGAGGTCGGCCATGGTCATGGTGCCGTTGGACTTTGACAAGGCGGCAATGGTCGCGTTGGCGATGGCGCCGGTGTAGAAGGCGTCGACGCCCTCCTTTGCGATGACCTCGAGAGTGTCGGCGTAGCGCTTGCGCGTGATCGTCTCGTTGAGCTTGAGGAGGGTGCCGTGCGGCGCGAAGTCGATGGCCCATGACGGATCATCGGTCAGGAAGTTGCCATTGGGGGTGACTGACTTCATGTATCTGACCAAGTCCTCGTTGACACGCCAGCCGTAGCGAGCGACCTTGATCGCAGGCTCGACCACCTTTGACCAAGGCAGCTTGCCGTACTTCTTGTGCAGATGCTCCAGACCGCGGAGCTCACCAGGGACACCGCTGAGAAAATCGCCATGTCAGTCTTGGTGGCACTTGTTTTCGCTAGCGCATGGATTCAGCTTACCTAGCGAGACCTCCGTACAAGCTGGCTCTCGTGTTGTTCGTGTACATGTCCTCGTAGGCAGCGGCCGGGGCCGTCTCTCTGAAGTCAATGAACTCGTAAGTACCATTGCTCGACCTCACGAGCATGAAGCCGCCGCCGCCAATGCCGCTGTGGTACATGCCAACGGTACCGACGCAGAGGACGGTGCCGACCGTCGCATCGGCAGCATTCCCGCCCTTCTTGAGGAGCTCGGTGCCGATCTTGCTGCAGATATCGGACTCTGAGGCGACGGCGCCCAACTTCGGGATCGTGCTGTGGCTCGGGGCTGCAACGGCGGGCTGGGTGGTGATGCCGAGCAGGAGCTGCGCGAGGGCAGCGGAAGTCAAGGAGAACTTCATGGTGGGCCGGCTGGGGAGGTTGAGCAAGCTTCACAAGGTGTCTCGTCTAATTCACAGCTCGTCGAGAAGGAACAGCACGGTGTACCTGGTTGGTCCTAAGGGAAAGCAAGCGGCAGTATTGGAACCGGAGACGGCCTGGCAGAACCAAGAGAAGCAGGATACCAACAAGGTAGCCACGAGAAGAAGCTGCCAATATTTAATATGAATGCAAAACTTCACGCTCAATGGCGCAATCGAGCAGACTCGCCGAGTTCGCCCACAAACCGAGGAGATTATGGACCCGACAGGTTGGGGGGAAACGTGGGAAAGGCTCACAGCTTCATTTCGGCAGCCTGCAGATCACCAACGGTAGCCGCTGTACCCTATCGCAATCGTTGGTAATGTCAGATGTGCCCCGTTTCCGTAGATAGGGAAACCCGATTGCGGAACTAAAATATGGTCTGTTAAATCGTCCCACGTTCTACCCAGCTTCCCCGCGTGTGTGCCTGTCCGCCTCGCCGTTCAGCAGCAGGGCCCGGCCCGGTTCGTGACGTCGAGCTTCAAAGTTCGGTGAGCTATTACCTTGGTGTCACTGCAAAGCATCAGCAACCTTTAGAGTCCTCGATTCTGTACCTAGCCACTAGTACGGGTAGTCTGCAGGAAATCTGCATGGAAGCCAACATGGAGCCAAGAACCAGCGAGTCAAGTGCGTGAGTGGCTGGGATTCGGCGTGTGAACCGTAAGCCAAAATTGTCACTATCCAAGTTCTTCATTGGTTATCTGAGGGGGAAGACCGAGAGAGGGAAATGTTTTGGAGAAATATCGAGCGAAATGCCGGGAGGAATCCACTCCGCAAACAATCGGGCGGGGTTCACCTGAATTCTCCTGCCTATTCCGGATAGCTCGCGGCGACCCCGGTATCGCCGGGGGAGGCATCCCCAGTTCACCATGGGTCGGATGGGACAGGTACGCGGCGCGCCAAGATAACAAAGCTTGCAATTTATCATTGCTTGAGCTGTCAAGTTGTTGATAGCACGCGCGGTTCCATAGATAAACTACTATATTTCGATTGTTGTCATGTCATAATGATACTCTAGAATATTGAACTGCACTTATCTACGTGTTCCTCATACAATCCTAAACCCATAACTTCTCCATACTCACCTCTCCAACAAATGCCATTCTTCACTAGCAGGCTGACGAGCAATCCAACACCTCATTAACCTCACAGGCCAAGCTTTTGAGATTGAGTTTGAATGTTTTCATCGCTTTCACAGTAATGTTAGCTAGATTTAACTCAATCTGAACCATGGGCTACCGTCATAACTGTTTGCAATCGCGATACCGACATAGGTGAACGGACTCCACACAAGTCCCGAGAAACCCGCATTTGAACTGTACCAAGAGTCTAGTAGCCGTCAGCCTCACGTGTGTAACGAAACCACGCGGCCGCAATTGTAAAGTTGTCTCTAAATCTTCTGATAGAGAAGGTAGCTCTGCAAACAAACTTTAGTGACGTGAGCTTCTGACTGGTCTGGCCGAGCGATCCGGTGCGCATTTATCCTACAAGCTCATATCCCAGCACGCTGTTGTTCTACCACCAAAAACCACCGGTGAGCACAAGCTTTCCGAACTTGAGATGATGCCAGGGCAAAATATGCTCAGCCGAATGGAGACAATGTCCGCTTAATGTGAACCAAAGGAGGCCCCCGAGTTGCCCTGAATGAGTATGTTGGGAAACTTGAAGAGATTCTGACTTTAAAAATAGTATGGCGATGAGATGGGTTGGAAATAGTACATCGCTAAATGATATCAATCATCAACTTTGCAGTAAGAGCACAAGCGATGTCTGCGATATGCTCTGGGCATGACTGTGGGGGAAGTTAAGGTTAGGTCCGCATATTAATTGCCTCCCTGCGGGCCCATTTGGAAGCTGTTGGCTAGCACGTCAAACCAGGATAAGGTCGCGTAAGAGAAAATACAGGTATTGCTTCGCTTAAAGCCCTCAAGTCAGAACAAAACAATATCGAGTTGATTACTTGAAAAGAGTGTTTGGTAAAGATTACGTATCGGAATCGGAGTAGCCTGTCGTGGAAGCCTTGTTTCCGTCCTGACCAGACTTGTAGATCCTGACCATTTTACCTTCGCGCATCCATAGACTTCTCATTTTGGGACTCGAGATCCTTCGGGCTCCCTTGGGACCTCCCTTAGACTTAAACTGAATCCAATTTCTCGACGAAAATTGACTCTCTTCTATATCAGTTATCGAAACAGTGAGTGCTTTCTAACTAAAAACGGAGCCTTCGCTAGGATTAACGGTAACAAAGATACAACGAGACGAGACGAACCTGATTGTCATTGGGCCAGAATGTACAATATCAAAGGAAAATATTGTAGGTGACTGGTCTATGGCTTCAATCAGGAGTCAGCAATTCTGCCGTGACTACAAAGGCACTTCGATAACTTCACAACTTAAACCGGTGTATGCTACTGGGAATTGTGCGGCGTACCTAAATCAGATTGACTTAAAAGGCTGCCAGGAACTTTGATTCTTACCACTGCAGCAATGACTGTACTTAGAGTATCAGCAGCAAGCCCCGCGAATATCCCATATTAACCGGAAGTCGTTCGTTTGGAGTTTTCCATATTTCAGAGGGAATGACGTTTGTTATATTGAGTTCATTTCAGACGTCCATTGAAGGGCTGTATATTACATACAATGTTGAAACATATTACCCGTCCGAACCTCGAGCTATGGCCGATGCCCCGAACAAATCTTCAAGCCTTGACACATTCGACAACCTGCAATTTCTTATCCATCCCATGTACCTTTACCATTCTCAGTCCCGCAAGGGTGATTATCTCGTTGAAAGCAGTGGCAGTCCTCTCCTTGCCAGCAATATTCAACATGGTAAAGTCCAGCATGCATTCCGAAATCGGAGGCGGATTGGGTATGACGTTGTCGGCAATGAGGAGCCTGCTATCGGATGCCATGGCTTCGGCGATATGTGTTAGTATGTTGACGCAAGTCTCATCGCCATAATTATGTAGGCATCGACGTATCCAATAGACCAGAGCATCTGTTAGAAGCAGTAAGTCAAGGATTTTGCGAGTTTGAACAGGGTAATAAAGTACTGACGTTTGATAGGTTGCATCGTTTGGAAGTCGTGGGTTTGCAACTTGACGCCCTTAAGCCCTGGGTCACTCATCGCAGCAACAGCATTTAGTACGTCCTCTTTATCCTCAAGTACGACGCGTTCCGTTGGGATGAACGAATTTTCCTGCAATATGGCCTTAGTGACGTGACCATTTCCGGCGCCGACGTCCACGAGCACTGCCCGTTGCTGGTCCATGTTTCGAATTTTCTCCTTGATCCATGTAAAGTCGTACGAGCCGGTGAAAGGTGCCGCATACTGTGCCATTTTCATGGCTTTCTGGAACTGGTCCCTTCTCCTTGGTTCTTGGTAGTAAACTTCGTACGGCGTCATCTCTGGCTGGCCAAATCCAAAAGCAAGTGGTGTCCGGATCTCGGAATCAGGCTCTCGGCGGCCGTACTCAGCGAAGTATTCCGGCATTTTCACGGAAGGGACGATAGTTTCCTCATACCTAGACTCTTCTTAGCACTGAAAGAATATAACCTAGTCGATGTCTTCGTAAATTTCTTACCAGAAACTAAACACGACTGTATCCGGCAAGCCTGGAAGATAGCGTTTGGAGATCTCGGTATGTGCTAATTCCTCTTCTCCTACTTGTATTAGTACTCCACGCGCAATCAGATGCCAGGCGATCCGTTCTTCAATGTCATTAGCTTCAGAATTCTGTGCGAAACGGAGCCCATGGTCATCACTTACGAACCAAAGACTTATCAGCATTGAGCTTCCTGGAAAGTTCGTCGTACGAGATGGTTCCATGTAGAGGGATTGCTTCAAACGCGTTCCAATCAATGAAAAGCTTCATGGCAACGAATTCGCCGAAGCCGTTAACTCGTGTAGTCCAGTCGGGCATATCAGGCCGGGCTGCAGCTATGAGCCGTTCCGCAACTTGGGTAATCTTTTCATTCATCTCAGACTGTTTTAATGGGGATTCAATGAGAGCAGACAGCTTTCCTACAAGGTCAGAAAGCAGCTCAGTGGTGGGAGACATCTTTGAAATGTTGATATGACAAAACTGAGTATCAGAGGGCCGCAATCTTAGCCAACAGACCCTGTGGCTGGCTCATACTGCCGAGTGCACACTGGCTTTATACAAACAAAGTGGATTAATATTGAGTTCTCTGCATCTTATAAATCAACTCAATGATGGTGTGTAGCTCCCGCGTCTTCGCGCTTCTCGCAATTGCGGGCGGAAACCCGTGGCGAATCCGAAACCGATGGGGCGCAACAGATGAACTTAGTATAACAACAAGTGGGTGTCCATACTAAAGTACTGAAGTACATCTCTCCGGACCAAGTTAGGATCTTATTGCTGGGTTCGTGGGCTTTGGAAATTGACAGAAGGATCACAACGATGTGGAGAGTGTAAGTTCTTCTTTTGATATGTGGTGTTGACAGCGTCGAAGTCCATAATTTCTATCACGACTTACAAATAGCCCCTTCAGACAGCTTCGCGCACTGTACCATTGAATCACACGCTTCCTCCTATAACGAACACACTTTGCTTTGAGTCTTGATCACTCAATGATTAATCGGCAGAAGTCAATCATGCAGAGGATTTAGGAATACTGTGCACAGGAGGTGTGGCCCATGTTAACGGCGGAGCGCGCTTGTGAAACGTCACCTTACTGAACATGAGTGACGAAGTGGCAGAATTGGCTTGTTCAACTTCTGTCCTCGATGCCTACGAAAGGATATATACTATGAAGAAACGGATAAAATGATCACCCAGTATTCCACTCACCACTGTATCGGAAGTTGATGGCACCTTAAATGGGGGATTGCGTATGCCAAGCTCGCAGATTGAATCAGACGAAGTATAACCCAATGTTGTTTATCATGGACCCCGCGGATTTCCCGGGAGTGGTCTCTTCGATGAGATGTCAAAATAAGCCACTGCTCATGGTTGTGAAAGCTGAAACGGTAAATGTACTGTAGTACTGCAAGAGATGCTCTAAGAAGAGCGTTGAATGCGTGAAAGATCAGATCAGATCGGATCAATGGGCCGAGTACCCCCCATCGACGCAAATGGTTTGCCCTGTGACAGTAGCACTCGCATCACTCGCCAACCATATGGCAACTCCGGCAAAGTCCTCGGCCTTCCCATTACGTCCAGTCATTGTCCGCGCCGCATGAGTCTCCGCCTTCTCCGTGTCCGAAAAGACCTCTTCCGTCATCGGAGTTTCCACGAGTCCCGGAGCGATGGCGTTGCACAGAACCCCGCTCGGCGACCAGGCCTCGGCTTGAGAGCGCGTAAGCGACACCAAACCGCCTTTTGCTACACCATAGGCACCGCTGTTACCAAATGCGCGGAATGACTGCTGACTGGCAAGATTGATAATGCGACCGCTTCCGCGCTCTGCCATTCCCGGGCCGAATGCTTGGCCTAAAGCAAACGGGGCAGTTAGATTTGCGGCGATGGTGTAGTCCCAGTCTCCTTGTGTTATTCGTGACAATGGCGGGCGGTGGTTGACGCCTGCTGCGTTGACGAGGATGTCTGGTATGCCGTGTGCGGACTTGATGCGAGCGCTGGCGTGGTTGAGGTCTGCTAGGTTGGCGAGGTCTGCCGTGATGGACGTCACGGGGACACCAAGTTGTGTGAGCTGATCGACTGTCACTGCTAGAGGTTGTGGTCTCCGTGCAATGAGTATGATTTTTGCGCCGGCTTGACCCAAGGCAAGAGCAATTTCTTTTCCGATTCCTGAGCTGCCACCAGTGACAACTGCTGTTCTGCCCGCCAGACTGAAGAGTCGGGTGAGGTAGGTCGGTGAAGTGCTGATATTTCTCGCCATTGTCCAGAGGGTTCTTATCTTACCCGTTCAGTAAGAGAAGAAGTATCAATTATCAATGTGAGAGATGTCAACTTTATGTGATAGTAAGTGTGGTAGAAGGTCAGTCTTTGCTGTGAGTCCCGAAGGATGTACATGGCGGGTTCTTGAAGTGTGACTCCGAGTCAACTGTGTGTGACTAACCGACCCTTGTAAGTCAATTCTGGGCTTAGTGCTTCGAGGCGGGAGATTTCACATGCAGCTACCGGCGTTCATAAGACACTTAAAGTGAACTACGACACGTGCAACACCCCATACTCCAACTTTTACGTGGGAAATTGTTGCACGTGATGGCCATCAGTTTGGGTGATAAAGAGGAGTAGCAGTTTCGATTACTCAAGCTCTCGACTGGCTAGGTTGGCTTGTATGCGCAAGTGAGATTTTGCTGCTAGTAGCAATCCCGACGCAACGCCCGGTGGAGGCTGGGTACAGCATGCACAAATAGGATCCCAGGAAAACCCTTCGCAGCAGCAAAAGAGAAGAGCAAATGCATCATGGGAGAAAGCCGAAGTCTCCAACTTGTCAAAAAGGCATCTGTACATTTGTTTTACTTTCAGAATTCAGCATAACTCTCAAAGCGCAAAAGTGACTGCTCCCTAAGATATGAATGACAAGCTCCAGAAGATCGTAACTAAGCGCTAGACTAGTTCAGGTGACGGTGTCAAGCGCAGTGGCACCTGTCAAGCTAACTACGATGTTGTCCCCAGATGCGGGGGTTGGCTCAATCGCATTAGTGTGTGGCACTCCGGGGTGTATGATCTGTTGAACCCACAGATATTGACTTTAAGCTGTGCACTGAGATTCACCACCCAAACACAGAGGGAGGATGTCGGAACCGCTCTTCGAATACCTCTTCTGAGGAGTAGAAATCTAACCTTGTCAAGAGGAAGATGCCTAGACAAGAGGGTGTATGAGGAACTTGGAACATTATCAACATAAACGCCTGGAGGTACTTCAAGGAGACCTCCGTGGGGAAGTAGGAGCAATCGCCCAAGATCTTCTCAGAAGGCTACTCAAGAGTGAAATAAAGGGAAAGACTTGCTTGATGTACCTAAGTATTTGGATACATAGGTCTACAGGACGGCACATGTGATACTTGAACGAGGAGTTTCACAAGCGCGTGTAAGATCATATTGTGATTGTACGGAGTTTTATTGATGGATCTACCATACTGGATGTTATTATCCAAACCCTACTCCAATTTCATGTCATCGAGGCATTCATCTCTCGTTAGTCGTTTAATCGTCAAGCACCCCCATCACTGTCCATAGCGCCACATGCTCCCCAGCGCCCTGCACCTAGAATGGCGGTAGACAGTTCAATGCAATAAACTGGTTCTTGGGACTGGCGTAGAAGTGGAACGCGAACAGCCACAAGTATCCGATCGACTTTCCAACTCTTCCACTCATCTTATGATAGAACCGAGGGAAGTATGTCTGAAGACCATAGAGGAATGCCGTTTCCACGATCATCGCAATGTAGTTCAACATCCACCACCAGATCTCCACACTAACGTGACACTTGATTCCGCAGATATACTCAGTGCCAGCATGGAAGATACCACTGAGGAAGAAGATGAGTCCATTCAGGACCCAGCGTGTCTTTCCCCGGAAAGGTCGATGACCTACGCCAAGCACAGTAAGGATCATCTCGCCCAAGCCGTTGGTGGTGCGGTAGATGAGCCGATCGAAGTATTTGCTCCAGAAGCGCCGGAGATTCCAGCCTTCGCGGATATCGCCAAAGACCGGAGGCCACTCTTCAGGTTCATCGATGTGAAGCGCTACGAAGAAGAGGGCAACGGTCGAGTGAATAAAGGTGTACCAGTAGAAAGCGCCCCAAATGCCTTCAAAGGCGAAGTAACAGCGGATAACCACCTCCCGTAGGTCGGTCTCATTTCGAAGAAGACGGCGGAAGTAGGAACGTTTGTAGGGGGCAATGTCTTCATGAGAATACCAGGCGTACGTGTCCCAAATGTAGTCCTTGACGCGCTCCAAGATGAAAATGAGAGCGATCTTGGCTACGGTGGTCATGATCCAGCGGCTTCTTGGGCTGAAAGAGGTCCAGAAGCGAACCAAGGGCTGGCTGATTTTGTTCCAAGCGTTATAGCTTACTTGAATCACAAAGTCCCGGGAATTTCTGATCCGTTCGAGCACACCATTATTATTGATTGCCTCAGTCGAGCTCTGGTCTAAGTCGTTATGGTTCATAGTGGCTTTCTCGGTAGTTGTCTCTTCGATCGCAGCTGTGATGGATGCTTCTGCGAGCTGCCTCTTACGCTCTTCATCTGCCTTTATCAAGTGAAGGACAGGAGCCGGACGAGTGGTGTTGACAAAGCGTGCGTTCCACATGAGTTTGTAGGTGGCGAGGATGCGTTGCCCCCAGGGAGAGTTTTTTTGATGTTGCGTAACAGCGATATCCTCCCACAGCATCATAACAGCTGCACCCATGTTTTGGATGACGAGTACCTGAACAATGGTGATCTTGACAGGGTAGAAAATCGGTAGGATGGAAATTTGTTGAATGATAGCGGCTGCCAAGGCGAGGGATGCACCGACGAATGCTGTGCGGTATCGGCCATTGGAGTTAAAGGCGATA